TGATATGGTACTACAAGGTCATTAAGATAAGATGGGGCCTGATTATTTAAGACCTTGTATGTGAGGAGCAGGATTTTGAATTCTGGATTTAACAGGAAGGCAGTGTGGGAGAAATGTGCTCTCTCTTTCTAGTCCCTCTCAGTAATCGTTGCCAGGCTAAAGGTCTGTGGTACGTAGTCGACTCATAAAGATTGAAGCAATAATTAATGGTAGGACTTCATTAAAGTAAAAATGGTTTTAAAAAAATAACCACTGTAACATTCTTTCTGTGCTGCTTTCTGTTTTATATTGCTTAAATTGAAAAACCTGCATATACATGCTGGGTTTACAAAGGATATAAATCTCATTTATCAATGAATACACACTCGTGCAGATTATAAAATCATTTTAAATACATTTAAACTCTTCTACTAACAAATTAAAATGTGTCATTTGCATTTTAAATATTTGCATGGAGTCTTTGTTTTGTTTTTCTGTGGAAATGACCAAACTGTCCAAACCCCACTTGTCCTCTGAGTGGCTTCTGCTTAGGAGGGTTGTTGGAGATTTTCCTAATCTGAGTCCCGCTGTGGTCGACTGGGTTCAGCAGCGATCGTGCAGCCCTTCATTCACTGGGTCAGGTGGCCAGTCATTCTGTAAGGGAGGGGCGAGAGACTGCAGCGCCATACAGGTGTAAAGGGAGGGAGCAGAGTGAAGTCACGCCATACAAGCTGGGTGTCGTGTGTGCGCGTGTGTCACTGGAAGGAACTAACAAATATGCAACAGCTTTATTGATGTTGTTTTATGGTCATTTTTGTGTTTGTTTCTTTGTACTGAACTGACTATTATGGGGTTGTTCAAGCAAAACAAGACGTTTGAAGAGGTCGCCTCAGTAAATATGCAAAACTGTACATATCAATTAAGAATTCATGTTTTTTTTAATTGATTGAAATATAATAAAAATAATGTTTCTTGCACTCCTAGTTTCATTCACCTAGTGAGGCATTCTTTATGCCTTTTATTAATTTTGGGGTTTATGATAAGTAAATAAATCTGTCTTTTTTATTATTTCAAATAAATTCAGGGTGAAGAAGAAGCTGATCAAAATACTTAAACCAAACCTGATGGTTTCCATCTTCTATAATTGTAGTCTAATAATTGTACAAAGGCGGTTCTTCTCTGCGTCTTGTTTGTTGTGTCTCTACGTGAAGAAAGCTTGTGATTGTGTGTGTGTGTGTGTGTGTGTGTGTGTGCTAATGTGACTGCTCACTTACATAACTTTGCTCTGCTAAAAATAGCATCTCAGAGCTGAGCTGTCACTCTGTTCCAAAGTGCTGGGAGTATAAATACATGCAGTGAGTGAGTTTTCAGCTGTGCTGCTGTCTGAAAGATGAGCTCCTACAGTTTAATCAGTGCTGCATGTACCTGCTCTCTACAGTAACCTGTAAAATGCTTAAGAACTCCTCACCTAATATTAGGGGCTAATTTTGGCAGGAGCCTGAGTGATATTAGACAACATTTGCCAATATTTTTGTATTGGTAAATTGCCAGTAAGTGAAAGAAGTAAAGAACAGACAAGAGAAACACCCTTCAACCCTTCAAAGCTCCTCCAGAGGGCGCTCTGTAACTAACTCTGTAACTTCCTTGTTAGCAGCTGGTGTTTGGCACAAATACATCCAGCCGAGCCCAGCAGAGTGAGACGAAATGTTTAAACTACATTATCATAGTTCGGACTACACATTACAAATGTTCAGAAAATCTGTTTGTTTGATTTGTCCCAGAGGATATTGAGTTAATATAAAAATATCGCAGAGTTACATCCACCAAACACAGATTATTCAGCACAGTGATTACCAAGCATATGGGCTCAAAATGTGGTCATAAATATTTTGTACTTGAAAATCGGTTTTGTACTTGTAAAAAAGATTTGTGCGTGCGTAAAAAAGATTTGTGCGTGCGTAAAAAAGATTTGTGCGTGCGTAAAAAAGATTTGTGTGTGTGTGTAAAAAAGATTTGTGTGTGTGTAAAAAAAGATTTGTATGTGGACTTAGCCAAAAACCCCTGCAAGTTACAACTACGAATTTTGACCCCATTTTTCTTCCTTTCATCTGATTGGTCAATGTCATGTCAATCACAAATGTAACAATCCAATCAGAGAACAGATGGGTTTGGCTGTCGTAGGGGCGGGTTTTTTGAACTGCAGGTCCTTGAAGGGTAATCTCCCTTCAAATATCCGATAGCAGTTAGGTCCCCTTACTTTCAGCAGCTGTTGAAAGGATAAAGTTGTGGTATGTCAGTGGTTAGAAATACCATTATTACTTTAGGATTAGTTTAACACAACGTCAGGGCTGACCCGGGACCATTGTTGTGAGTCACAGCGAGCAGCATAAAAGTCCTTTCACATCGGACGCAGGATGTGCTGCTAATGCTAACTGCTAACTAAAAGCAAAGGATCCAGAATTTGTTGCTGCCTGCTGGGCTCTGTGGGTTTTTGCAGCAGCTCTACCTGTACTAGATGCACCTGCTCCTTGTCGTTTTTATCTCTGACTTTATGTGAACTACAAGAGTTTCTGTTTTTTTTTTTGCTCGTTCTTCAAATGTTCAATAAAAACATGTATGCTAATTCATAACGAAGAAAGCTTTGTAATGAAGACTGTCATTTCCAAAACACTGCCCCCCCTGCGTCCGCAGCGCTGTTGAAAAGGCTGTGGAGGTCCCTGTATTAAACACTGTGACACAAAAATCACCAAACTCGGACGACCACAGACTGTTTTCCTTCGTGGTGATGAAGGAAAACGCTGGGTTGGCATGTAAAAGGGCATTTATTCCCTTCAAAGACCTGCAGTTAAAAAAAAAACCGCCCCTCCGAGAGCCAAACCCATCTGTTCTCTGATTGGATTGTTACATTTGTGATTGACATGACATTCAGCAATCAGATGAAAGGAAGAAAAATAGGGTCAAAATTCGTACTTGTAACTTGCAGGGTTTTTTTGGCTAAGTCCACACACAAATCTTTTTTACACATACAAATCTTTTTTATGCACGCACAAATCTTTTTTTATGCACGCACAAATCTTTTTTATGCACGCACAAATCTTTTTTATGCACGCACAAATCTTTTTTATGCACGCACAAATCTTTTTTACACACACACAAATCTTTTTTACACACACACAAATCTTTTTTACACACACACAAATCTTTTTAACACACACAAATCTTTTTTACACATACAAATCTTTTTTACGCACGCACAAATTTTTTTTACGCACGCACAAAATGTTTTTGCGCACGCACAAATCTTTTTTACACATACAAATCTTTTTTATGCACGCACAAATCTTTTTTACACGCAACAAATCTTTTTTACACACAAATCTTTTTTAGCACGCACAAATCTTTTTTACGCACGCAAATATTTTTAACACATACAAATCTTTTTTACGCACGCACAAATCTTTTTTACACATACAAATCTTTTTTACGTACGCACAAATCTTTTTTACGCACGCAAATTTTTTTTTTACACATACAAATCTTTTTTTACAAATACAAACATTTTGAGCCCATACAAGCACACTGTCCTGATTACTGCAGAGAGCGCGCACTGTTCTACACCCGGATGGACAGATGAGTCGACTCCAGCATTTTACATGGAGATTTTCAAAGTCTCCTTTAGCTTTTGTAAATGGTGGCACCTCTTTCTTTTTTCCAGCTGTGACCACAGAAGCTTAAGGCTTGTGTTTGCTAAGGTCTTACAATCTTTCATATGAAGCTAATTGGGACTATTTTTTTTTGTCCTGAATTTCTTCCAGTAATGCGGTTCTGCACTAGATCTGATGCCCAGGGGTTGCATGATGTTGCTGTGGCAGTAAATCACACTGGTACATTTTGTTGTTATTGTGTCTGGTTTCGACATTGTAACAGCTGGACAACTTTGAAATTAAACATTTCATATACCGCATGTAACAAGGTGTAGTGACAGTTGGACGGTTAAGTGGGGACCAGTGGAAAACGCCTTTATTTGCACATAGATGAAACCTACATGACAAACTGTGATATATCAGCTGTTCTGATGTTCTGTGTGTGACCTACTGTCTTTATTTTCCCACTGCAGCTCAGATTGAAATAATCCCCTGTAAGATTTGTGGAGATAAATCATCAGGGATCCACTACGGGGTCATCACCTGTGAAGGCTGTAAGGTAAGCTCCTCCTCCCTCCCGTTGTCTGCTAAAGTCAATTTGAGCGCGTTATAACCTCAGTTAAACCCAACTCTAAAATACAGTAAAGGGTCCAAAATGTACGGCCTCCTTCACATCGTCCAAAGTTATCCAATGAGTCAGTTTGGATTCTGGCCCCCGGTGCTCATGTTTGATGTCCCTGCTTTAAATGATAAGCCTTTCCAAGTCGTTCAATCACAGACTGATCTTTGTTACATCTGTGCAACAATTAATGTTTGAGAATAGTTTGCACTTTGAATCCTCCGTATTTTGTCTTTTTTTCTTTAACCAGGAAAAGGCCTCTGCAATCATCCATCGCTGGCGTTTTTATGTGGCACAGCTCACCAGTGCATTTATTGTGGTGTTAAACCAGTTTTCATTTGAGTTTAAAGTATTTCCATGTATTGCAATATGATTTTATACCCATACCTGACCAGGCACGTTTGTATGTTTCGTACAGAATTTGGTCTGAAACATCAGTCACGAGCATCGGGCTCTAAACCATATTCTACCTGGTGAGAGCGGTTCTGTGAACAGGCAGGTGTGTTCAGCCACAGCAGCTGCTGATGTGACAGCTGGAGGCTTATTTCACAGCCAGCATGCAGCTGAAGCAGCCTCCAAACAAACCACAACATCTGCACTAAGTCGCACGTTAGATGTAAATGATCTGCTGCTAATATGACATAATGATATTACATAATGTCATCTGAGAGAAATCAATGTTTTCCCTTTAAAGTTACTACTGTTCCCTTGAGCTTGACACAGAGTGGCATCATTTGTTAATTTAACTATAATTTGAATTACAGACATTTTTATATTTTATAATTTTGATGCATTTCCATTCAGATCTATACAGGCTATATTGGCTCTATGAGAAGAAGGGTTATAGGCCATCTGTGATGCATCTATAAACTAGTGGGATCAGGAAACGTGAACAGGTACTATAAACGTACCGGGGATATGGTGATCGTGGGCTGAACCCCAGTTTGCTTCATGTATTTCTTCACACTTTCAAAGTGCTGTGAATGTTTCCTTTTCACTACATGGTGCTGAAGGTAATGTTGACTTTTATTCTATAACTATGATGCTGACATCTCTAAAGCATTCTCACACATGTTTTATGTGGTTCCCACATTTCTTGAGGTAAAATGCAATAAAATAGAAAAGAATAGAACAGAATAGGACTTTATTGTCATCGTGCATATACAATGAAATTCTGCTTTTTTTCCCCATCAGGTTGATAAACAGTTAACAGCTTCTTTGTGCTCTACATGGCACATGGTCTCCAGTCTTTGCCTTGTGATTACATTCACATTTCTGCATTGCCTGTTATATATTCACTGACTGCTTGTGAGAGTGAGCTGCTGACAAGCAGACTGAAGCTAGCAGAAATAACTTTCATGTGTTTGTCATCTGATAGCCTTTGCGCTCCTTGGTTTACCAATTTCTCTGTATATGCTAATAGGCCAGTCTGCCATTACTCTGTAAAATGGCTCATACAGAGGTACACGGGTGGATACGGTTTGTTTGTTGTTGTTACTGTTGTTGGACATCCAATGAACACTATATTGTGAAGCATTTGCTCATCTGCCTTCACACAGTGACATTCATTTCTTAACCCAAAGAGTTTAACGGGATGTGCCTCATCCTTTGCAGCTGTAACAGCTTCAACTCTTCTGGAAAGGCTTTCCACCATGTTTATGGGAATTTTTGAACATTCTTCTGGAATCGAAAGGAGGAATGCTACATCAGGTTAGACACTGATGTAGCATGACAAGGCCTGGCCCTGGCTCACAGTCTGCGCTCATCCCAAAAGTTGAGGTCAGGACTCTGTGCAGGCCAGTAAGGTTCTTCTTTGTTCATGTCTTCATGGACCTTGCTTTGTGTACTTGTACACAGTCATGTTGGAACAGGAAGGGGCCGTCCCCACACTTCTCTAACAATTGTCTAACTTGGATGTCTTGGCCAAGATATCGTCATCATCAGTGATGATGTCAACCCCAGCCTCAGCTCCAGTTCCAGCTCCAAAGCCTAATCCTTTGCTTTTTAAAAAAAAAAAAAAAAGCATAGGGTTGAAAAAACAACAAATTAATATTAAAGATGAATTTAAAAAATAGGGTTAGGATTAGGATGACTCTAAATCAACCAGTGGCCATTAGTTGGAGCCTGGAAGCGGCAACTTTAAGCTGAGTTTTGACAAGATAACTGGCTTTGATGAAGAGGAGCCGTGGCTCTTAATATGATTGGAGACTGATGAGACCGCCTTGGCTTCACATACTTCCATATTTCAACCAGACCGTGCTCTGTGTATGTTTCAGAGAGTGAAATGTAGTGTTGTGTGAACAAGTGTTTTAAGTCTAGGAATGTTAGATTAGTAACTTTGTGCATATTACAAATATTCTAACTATATTGTAAATACTAAAAAGCAGTCCTAGGGAGGCAGTTTAGAGGCCTGTAATTTAGTTCAGTTTTTATGCTGGTAGGTTAGTTAGTTTTGTTCTATTTTATATTTCTACAAAATCTCACAGTAGCTCCAGTCCTTGTGTGGAAGTCACATTTGCGTTGTGCTCTGGGCTCCAGAGTGCAACACAAGACAACCCCCTGTACCCCAGACAGTCCCCCAGACTCTGATGATAGTCTGAAGCATTTGTCTCTTTGGTCATTGCAGTCTGGATTAGTTTATCATTGCAGAAAAATGTAAAAAAAAAACGTTTCTTTTTCTCAAATTGAATTTTTTCTTATTACTTTTTGTTATGAAGAATATTTTTGTCATTCATTACACGTGTTTGTGAAAGACTTGATTTTATTTTTTTTGTTTTTTTGTAAAAAGATAACAATGTTAGCCTTTTCTGCAGCTATAGGGGATTTATGGCATCACTCTTGGCTGGAAGCAGTGCTTAAACAATGGAAAAAACACAAACTTTGTCCAAAAACCTCTCATGTTTAGCTGTTTTCCACTTTTTCTTTGGTCATTTTAGCCTTTTTGGCCAGGGTGAAGGGAGTATCTGCCATCAAACAAGAAGACAGCTGCATGTAACTACGACGGTGTTTGCTAGTTCACCTTACATGCATTAATGTAATAACGTGGTTAGCCTACTCAACGTAAATTACACACGAACAACATTAAGCTACTCACGCAGAGAAGAACGGCTGCTGCTGCATCATCATCCGTCATCATTTCTGCTACACTGGCAGGGCTAGGGGCCAGGACTCTCTCTTCGGGTTTTTGGGGGATGTTGCTAACTCCGGGCCGATAACAGGCACCACACCGCAGTAGATGTGCACGGTGTGAGGTCTATCAAAATATGGCGCATTTCTCGCTTTTAAAAAAATGCTATGCATCGCCAGGTGTTTCATCAGATTCGAGGAGTTACCTCCTTTGCACAGTATCACCTTAAAGCACTTGTTGCAGGCTGCTGAGTTTGCATCTTTTGCTGTGAAGTACAGCCAGACTTTTGACCGCTTCGCCTTGGGCATTTTTAATCTGTAGCTCTGCTCTAAAAGAACGTACGTACCTGGGCCCGCCTACTATCCTTGGAAAGGTAAAATGATTGGCTAGAATCCAAAGTGTATGACACTCAGGAAAAAAAAGCACCGAAATAAAGCACCGAAATGTGCGCTGCTTTTCGGTCTGGTTACTACCGTTCAAGGTTCAAGGTTCTTTATTATTTGTCACATGCATAGTTATACAAGTATAACACACAGTGAAATGTAGCCTGACACGCTCCTCGACATGTGCAAAATTGGGGGGGGTGTAGAGGAAGAACATTATATATATATATTATATATTATATATATATATTTATATTTTTTTTATATTAATTATAGTATATATATGGGTAATGTGCAGTAGTAGCACACACACTCTGACAACACCACACACACCCACCACACACACACACTACACACATAGTATATATACCATTGATGTCAGAACCGGTGCCATCATGGCACCGGATACCGGTGCCCATCCCTAATGGTAAGTGATAGTGGGGCTGTGCATCCTTCAGGAAATCCATTTTGAATTGTAGCTCCATGAGTGCACTGAAGATGCCAAAAGATTGCAAAGCAAAGAGTAACCAGATTTGATGTTTTTATACTGGGGGAAGGTCTCACAGTGATGCACATTTCATCCTTTGCCTCTATGATCTCCAACATGAGCACAAACATGAAGGCTTGACTGTTGTTTCAGTGATCAATCATAGAGATCTTTTGGTATGAAAACAATGATTTTAATAGAACTCTTTCGTGCTCTCTCAGGGTTTCTTCAGGCGTAGTCAGCAGAGTAACGCCACCTACTCGTGTCCTCGCCAGAAAAACTGTCTGATCGACCGAACGAGCCGAAACCGCTGCCAGCACTGCCGTCTGCAGAAATGTCTCGCTGTGGGCATGTCCCGAGACGGTAAGGCAAACACATGCACAGCAGATCTACACGTTACGAACATATCGAACCCACCTCTATGTCCAGAATAACCCTGAAGTACAACAACTGTGTGCTGTATGTGTATGTTAACCCTAACCCTGACTCTGATCCAGTTAATTCATAAAATGTAAATGAAAAATATATATTTGATATAGTGATGCAATGATAACAAATTTTTCAAATCTATACTATACCGATACTTCGATCTGAGTACTTACCAATACTTCTACTACACACACACACACACACACACACACACACACACACACACACACACACACACACACACACACACACACACACACTAAATGCAATGAATTGGAAGACAGTTTTATTTTATTCTCTAAAATAATAATAAAAATGACCACAAAAATAAAGTTTCAAGTGAAAAATAAGCACTTCTGTTAAATTATTGAATTACAAGTGTCCACATTGTAATTCAACAAAATATAAGTGAACTATTTGGCTCTGTCTCCAGCTTTCAGAATAATAAATAAACACTTCTGTTTGGAATAAAATCAATAAGTCGTCGCTTTTCCAAAACCTGAGTTAAAGTTGGCTGTTCTGGTCTTGCGTTAGCCTTAGCGAACTCGGTGCATGATGTGTCCTCAGATCTTTTATTAAACTGCTTGTATTGAACGATTCCCTCCCCTGGACACCTTACCGGCCTTGCTTCTGTCATCTTCACATATTATAGGTAAGTCCCCACCTGACCTTTTGTTTAGCATAGCTACAGCAGCCTCCAGTTTTCTTTTTTTTATCTGGACCCGCCAGCCTCACTCGCCTAACCCTGCTCTTGTTTAGCACGACATGTCCCCCCAGCGGCCAATCTAAAAAATTACAAAAGAAATGACAAGCCACCCTCTGACTCATGAAATAAGTTGGCATCGGTTAACTTTACAAGTATGAGTACACACACATTATACCGTACCGGCCTGATACCCGATACCAATATTGGTATCAGTGCATCCCTATTTTGATATCATATAGATTTTTTATGTTGTTATTACATGAAAAAACTTTTGTTTTAGACTAGAAAAGCACTACATATGAACCAGTGTAGGATATGATATAGTTTCAGTGTCTGTGTAATTTCTTTCTGTTTTCTACAATGAGATGTTCTGTAATGTTGGACTCATGTCTGCAGCATAAAGGTGTAGATTTGCAGATGGCTGTTCGATCAAAGATGCCACGCCCCTAACTTCAATATTTAGGTGAATGAGAAATTTCAAACAATCCCATCTAGAATATTACTCAAGGCTGACACTATCCACAGTTAACATGGGCGTCTGTTGGGACTGACTTGCTCTCACGAGGTCTCTGATGGATTGTAACGGGTGAAATGTATGAAATCCTACGTTTCTGTCAGCTTGGTGATCTAGTATGAAGGCAGATAAGGAGGCTAATCAATGTCAGCTCTACTTGAACACTGGTGGTGAGTCTTGTTAAGCGAATGAGTGCTCCGCCTCTGAAACCATAACGGCTAGCTTTCACTTTGGCTGAACTGTCACAGAAATCAGCATGTTTTTGTTTCATTGTTTCCAGGTCTTCATTCTCTGTCAGGTGGCTAACTGAAATCTTTTCCTTCTCTCCTCAGCTGTAAAGTTTGGTCGCATGTCTAAAAAGCAGCGGGACAGTTTGTACGCGGAGGTGCAGAAGCACCGCCTCCAGCAGCAGCAGCAACAAGGTCACCACCTCTTGTCCCATCCCAGCCTCGGCAGCCCGAGTCCAGTCGAGTCCGAGTCGCTGTCTTCTCACTACACCCTGTCCTCCACTGGCCTCACAGAGCTACCTGATGAGGGGGGACACTACGTGGAACAGAACTCGCCTGAAGGCGGATCTTTGTCATCTAAGGTTTGTTGTCTCTATTTTCAGGACAGTTTATAAACTCAACGATATTTCCTGTGTTTTCTACATCAATCTTTTCCTCCACAAACAGGGAGACTCTGCAGGAGGAGGGGAAGGAGGTGGTGGGGGGTTCTACTTGGACATCCAGCCGTCTCCGGATCAATCCGGACTTGATATTAATGGCATCAAACCGGAGCCCCTGTGCGACTATGGATCCAGTAACGGCTTTTTTCCATATTGCTCCTTCAGCAACAGAGACGTGCCACCCACGGTGCCCATGGCTGAGCTCGGTGAGTGGAGGACTCAGGAGAGTGAGATGTTTGTGCACATTTTACTGGAGTTTGTCTGTAACCTGCCTCTTTAGCTCCTTTCAGACCTGCTTCCTTTACTTAAACTTGTCTGGCTTGTCCATTAAAGTCATCGATGTGGCTCAGTAGGCACCTATCGAAGGATGGATGGGGTAATCGTCAACAAACATGCTTTACATAAATACAATCAAACCATAATTTCTTCCTTTTTTTAGGTCAGCTGTCAGTCAGTTTGTGTTCCTCCAGATTAAAATAATTAAAAACACTGAAACTAACGTAAAAATAAACATTTAGAGAACAAATTCTAACAAACTCTGTACCTGAAAAATATCGTCAATTGTCTGTTACGTATAGCAAAAAAACAGGAGGCAACACACCAAGGAAGGAGCACAGGACTTGTATCGATGGCTTTTTCATGAGATGGAGCTGGAAAGGTTGTGCAGCAGGTTGGGATGATTAAGCAAGGAGATGGAAATGTACCAAAGAGTCAAGAGGGAGTGTTGAGAAGATGAACGGAGCTGATGGAAGACGGTGGAGGATGGATGGAGGGCAATTAGTGAATCAGGAAGTGTAGGTGGAAGAAAGAAGAAGAATGAAGTGGAAAGGCAGTTGAACCAGGTGACGTATAGGGGTGGGCTTTAATAATCAATTCATCGATTAAAATCGATTCTGGCTTGGATAACGTGATATCGATTCATTAAAATCCTGAATTGATTTTTTAATATAAATGTATTTTGCCCGAAATTCCAGAATCTCAGTTGAAACGTCACAAAATTTTGACAACCACCAAACAGCTAAAACAGTAAATGAGAGCAGGTACATGGATTCTGCACAAAGACGTAAACACAAAGCGCGGACTCGATCAGAATCAGTGAGATGTCGCCTTTCTCACCGACGGCACGGACACGGTCGGGGCTGAAAGCCGACAGCTCGCTGATTCTGATGTTTCGGCGGGTCCGCGCTTTGTGTTCACGCCCTTTTTGTGCCGATTCTAAAGCTGTTAGTTTTATCTCCCAATATTGACCAAATATTGACCGAACCAGCAGCAAAAGAAGATCCAAACTGCGCTTCACATAAACATCGTCATGTATCTTGCTTTTTTGTTTCCCCCACACTTCATCCCTCTCTCTCTCTCTCTCTCTCTCTCTCTCTCTCTCTCTCTCTCTCTCTCTCTCTCTCTCTCTACCCTTATTTACCCTTATTTTATGTTTTTTTTCCTTTTACTTACTTACGAAAAGAAAACCTAATTTCTGCCTTTCAATAGGCTTCTGAACAAATTTAAACTTTTTAAAATGATGCAAAATGCAAAACGGTCAGCAGTGACTCTAATGAAACCGCTGTAACTTCAGAGGTGATGTTCATATGTTGATTAATGGTTTTCTTTCGTTTTTGATGTACTGTGGAATATTGTTGTAAAATCCCAGGCCAGGAAAATCACCTTCATGTTTTTCTGTGTTTTATCTTCAGCTACTTTGACACAATGCCATCTGCTGTGATGCTCACACCTTTGATAAAGTCTGGAAAGTGTCAGCTTCCTTTTTATAGATACAAAAATATGTAAATGGAAAAATTTCCCAGATTCAAATCGAATTGAATCGAATCGATTCTAGAAATCAGTGACGATACCCAGCGGACCTCAAAGATGTGGGAGGAGTTGTTGAAGCTAAATCAAATCTCTTCACCTCCTTTTAACCATGTTTGCTTTGCTGATGGAGAAGGTTAGGAGTTGCACTTTGTGGATCTAGAGGAAGTGTGTTACTGTATGAGGAGGTCTACGTGTGGTAGACTGGTGCATGACATGTATGATTTTTACCAATATCAAAACCCACTTTATCAGACGAAGGGCACACCTGAAAAGAAGTGGAGAGGAGTTATTTGCATTGTTTTAATCCTACACAGCTGCTCAGCAGCTGGAGATTCAGTTTCATGTTTATTTCCATTACGGCCTCTCAACATGAATTAAAAAAAAAAAGTCCTCCACCTCTGACTGTGCAGTGCTGAGAACAAGACAAAATAAATACAGTATTAAAAAGACTCATCATTTGGTCGAATGTTGTCGGCAGCTGCACAAAGATGAGGAAATATCTTGAAATACGTGAAGCAAAAAAGAAAAGAAGGGGAGAGATGGAACGAGAGGCTACAAAGGGAGTCAGACAAAGAAAGAGAGAGAGAGAAGTGAGGGGCAAACGGAGACAGAAAGGTGGTTTAAAATAGCAGGAGGTTGGAAACTCATCTTCAGAGCTCATTAAAATCTCTGTGTGGTAATTAGCTGTCTGTTAATTAGGGCCAATTGGGACGTGGCAGGGCGCTCGTTGGGGG